CGTGCTATAGCGTCGTTTTCAAGTGTTTTAGGTACGCTATGTACAATTAGTTGCTGCTTTTGCTGACATCATAGATGAGGATAAAAAACTTAGCTTTTTTCAAATTATTTATCGGTCTGCTGGGTCGAAGCCAGTTCGTACATATCACTGGCTCAAAAAAGACTGTGTATGTCCTCAAAAATATCTAAAGGTGGATTTACATCCTCGTGTACATCTGTGAGGTCCGCTATATTACGGTAGAAATGCTTGCGCAGATAGTGTGCTTACTAAGTCTGATCGTTCGCTGATTGTCATACATTCTTATTATAGCAACCGAAACCTTTTTCAGATGACACATCATTTGCTACTCATAGGGGCTTTGGGTAATTAAAAGAAGACGAAAGAACGTTGTAATGTTCAGTAGACGCGTAATCATATTAAGCAAATGATTTTTGCAAGGAAGCGACTTGCCTTGCTTCGGCGAAATTGTTCTACCCACAAGGGCCCCTCTTGATGGTTCGCCTCCCAATGAGCCAGTTTGAAACGTCTAGGACATGGAGGAGATTGTCTGAAAAGACGGATAGGCGAACAATGAAGCAACGTTACCTTTATAGTCTTCGCTGTACTTATTAATCGTCCTGTTGATCTGTAAGAGAGCAAGTATAGACTACCGAATGACGCTGGGCCGTACTCGCCAAGGACTATACATACATCCTGATACTTATCTCGTATGACGCTATTGTCAAAACATGTGCCATCGAGAGGAACTATATTTTCGCCTATTTACCCTTCGTTAAGTAAATCTGCATCACATTCCTATCGTGAGAGAGCAAGCTATGTTGTTCGGTCATCTGAATAAGAACGTGAATTTACTTTCGTACTTCAACCGCTTGGATATGTGGACCTGATGTTGGTGGAGGTTCGTCACATCCAATCCATGTGACTCACACCTAAGTAAAAATAACTCCCGGCACATAGGTTCATCTTGTAAAATTTGATAAATGGCAGTGTCCCCTCATGCAACGATGTAGACTCCATATTCGTATGACCAATCACGTAATGGGGCTATAAGTCGGAAATCTCTGGAGATTTCGGACTGTTGAACATAATCGACGCTTTGTCGACTATATCTAATGATATCGACACTTGAAAAAAGATTAGTCGAAAAGATTCTATCCCTAGATCATTGTACAGTGGGGGTTTCGACAAATGTTCAGTTTTACTGCACATATTTGTCGATGCAGACTAAGATCGATGGCTAGGAGCTCATCAGATGGCCTAATATTCTAGCTATACTTTTCGCCACGTATGTGTTGGTATCGCGGATCTTGTTTACACCTAGTTTATTTTTATCTGCATTTAATGATATGTTGTTGATCTTCAGTAAGTTGAACTAATGCAAATGTGTCAATGCGAATTCCTTCTGTGGTGCGTATGACTGCGGCCCTGCAAGATATTGTTCCATTTTATTATAGCAATGTATCTACAAATTAGGTTATGTGATTCTCCTCGTGTCATTGTTAAACTTCCTCGACTGACGTTCCATATAGCATATACCCGAAAATCGTGATCATATATGCAAAATACACGCGTCCGACCCGCATGTAGGATAACTTGCTTAATGCTGGTTACTATTATATTGCAATCTATCACTGGGGTTGATTACCTATTGTTTGGTCGGCTACTGAAGGTGAACTGCCATGTCCATGTGATTTACGATTGCTGTGTGCTATCACCTTGAGTAGAGCACTTTACGTTCCATTACACGCATATTGTAGCATTATTCGCTTGACATAGATCCTAATTTAAATTACATACTGTAGTGCTTTTTTGCTATGTTAAGTGGGAACATGTGGCTCACTACTGGCATTGTAAGATCTTTAGAGCCGAGACAAACTAATCCTACGCTTGTCGGCTTGACTTAGCTTTCTTCTCCAGATAAATTTATTCCGTTGTCAGACAAAACTATCTTATTTTGGATCCGACGAGTCGCTATTCATCAGATCAAAAAGTGGCCATGTTAATCGACGCCAAGGCTGTCTAAGTGCACCCGCGCTCTTTTTGGCCTTATAGAAAGAAACATCCCTGTATTGTGTATACATTATATTGTATTGATATTTTTAGTTTGCTCGGGAATTGTTACATCCACAAATCACTTTATTGACTCAATAATTCTCGATCAGGGGATCGATGTAGGTTTCGACACAATGAAGCTCAGGCTGGCGCTTTTGTCAGCCAAATTTGTCGGGACTCGCCTCTCTCAAGCAGATCAGCTCTTTATCAACGAGTGAAGACTATCAAATTGGGTGTAACGACTTACTGAGCTGCACATTTTGCTGGGTGCTGAAAGTGAGGCGCTAGACCGCCGTACGTCGCGTTTCGCCATTAATGCAATGTGGTTTCGCTATTCCTCTATTACTCAACTTTCATATCCATAGCTTTTAAATTCCACGATCATTGAATTGATCGTCCATATATGGTCATATGTGCGCTGAATGAAGACCCGTATACCTTATTATAAATAATCACAACACGCCTTGCAAAAATGGTACACAGTCTGCTGAAAGGCAATTTTACGAAAAGTGAATATTGAAGAAGTCGAACAGTGGACTACTACCTTCGAGCTCAAATTATCTATAAATTGTGGGTTGATGGAAGAAAACCACGATAGTAGTTAACCTTTAGCAGGATAACGATCCACGGTCGTATCGACACGCTACATCCACTTTCTGCCAATCGGCTCTCTTGCCTCGTCCTTACAGAACCTTGCTTGGTGTTATTATTGTTGTCCGAATATTCGACACTAATATTAATAATGCGCACGTCTATAAGAGCGATCCTGCAACCCGAAAAAATAATAGTCATTGAACGATCGTTTTTAGTGGGTTTATGTAATTGTAAAAGTCGATTATGACTATATTGCATCATAGACATTCTGATCTTTGTCTATTCTGCTGAAACATGATAGTTTCACATATACCCCGCGGAGTGTGCCGAAAAGTCGGCTGATGTTCGGCTACGATGACGCATTATCCGACTCTTCACTTCGACCAAATATGTTCATTAAAGCCGTAAACCCTCCTTGCTAGACAGTTCTGCTTTACATCGTGAAGCGTGAATCCGCAAGCTATGTGATATGAAATATAATAAAGATGACGTGCCACACAATTTTACCAAGGCGCAGACGAAGGCCAATTGTGGTGTAGCTGCAATATTCGCAAAGCGATACTGATGATAAGCTCCTACCTGTAAAACTCTGGGGTGTCGATCATGAGGCGAAGGACCGGGTCCTGACACACTTGCCTTTTCTGCCGAATTCGTAGCCGTGCTTTGCCGCACAATTTCCTCTTACTACATTCGAGTAGCTTAGCATAATTATGCTAATAGCGAGATCCATGTGAAGGCTCATATACGTCGTGTGTTGACGGTTGCTTATCGTTCCGCGAAGTCGACTAGATCGTACATCACGCATCTGTTAGTATTTAGAGACACCAACTGAAAAGCTTCGACAGAAAGAGAAAGGATAGCGGAAGAAGCTTTCTGATTACTGCTGGATGGTTGAATTAGCTCGCTATCTAATCTAGATGGTGCAGGGTTGTGAAGGATCTGTTGAGCTACCGAAACGATTCTCGCTCTTTCATCTGACTTTTTACTGCGTTCAATACCGCAGCAATAACAGCTTCCGCGATCGTCGAATCTCCGCCGCATGTTACTGATGCCTACGTGACGGGGTTATTGTGCAATTGGACGACCGACTCTTGCTCCCACGTTCGAGCCTCATGTGTAGAATGCCCATTCGTCAAGCACTCGATGAAGTAGCTTTGGTGATTTACACGGCCATTTCTACCGCATAAGCGATGCCGAGCAACAGTCAACTACACGCTAAGTTGCAATGGCGTCAAGTAGACGAAACGTTGCTGCAAAACTGACGCGGACTGTCTGTTGGACTCCATGTTGGAAGTTGATCGTTTTGTGCAGCCTCTTTGGCGTCACAAAAGAGAGGCAAACGTGAATTTACATAGAGCAATAGCCGTCATTTCCGAGCGCTCGCCAAGTCAACACTGGCTGAGTTCAGATCGTTAAGTCAGGATTGCAAAGCCTGACTCGCTAAGTTCGGCTCACAAAGCCCGACTCGTTAAGTTCGGCTTACAAAGCCCGACTCGCTAGGTTCGAATTACAAAGTTCGGATGGCTGAGTCTGAATGGCTAAGTTCGGATTGCTGAGTCTGCATGACTGAGTCAGCATGGCTGAGTCTGCATGGCTGAGTCTGCATGGCTGAGTTATGCTCTCTATTTTACTTCAACGTACTTTTTACTGTTGTAATAAAACCAGAACGTCGATAAAGCGGTCTCCAATCGACAACATCGGTGTGCATCGACCTCGACTTCCTCCTCCTACTCCTCGCTGGCTCACTGTGCTAAGCTTAACCCTTTGGGCATCACGGCGGACACCCCGCAGCGGACACGTAAAATCGGGTATCCAGTCCGGGGTCCGGACAGGGCGCTGAAGTCGCGAAGAGCGCCGGATACCACTCGAATCAGCCCCGATGACCGCTGACGCCCCGATACGGGGCCGTTAACAATCACATTAGAGGCAAAGTCGCTCCGTGGGACCAGAAATCATGCACGGCGACCGGGCCGGCAACGAATAGGCTGACGTAAAATAGCCGGAAGTAGGTGGGGGACGACCGCTGACGATGTCATTGTCACCCCAAAGTATCGTTAAAGGTGCGCCCCTTTCGGTTTGCACGCCGCGCTGCCTCCCGTAGCGCACGCAGCGGCGAGAAGACCTCTTCCTCTTTCAATTTAGACGCACTAGTCAATAGTGCGGCATCGACGCAACATAAAGCAGCTCAAGACAATGGAAAGCCACTTGTTAATGATAAGGAATCCGAAGGCTGGAAGAAGGCGCAGCGGGTTCTTCACCGCCGTCTCTCATGCACAAACCGTCGGGTGCAGCCTGAACAGTTGGTAGTCTGCGCATGCTGCTCTTTGCCGCCGTCATTGACTTTGTGGCTCGGTATGATGCTCTGTACGCCTCTGGAGAGCCTCGAGTCGCTACCACCGGCGCGGCCGATTGGATACAGCTACGGCCTCAAGACGATGTGAGTCACATGGACGCTCAAGTGGATCCGTGTAACGATCTCTACGCTTTTCGTTGCGGATCGTGGCTGAAGCACACTGAGATCCATGCTGACATGTCGAGTGTGTCTCGATTCTTTTCCAATGTGCGCGACGACAAATGATAAAGTCCCGAGAGAAGTGAGGCACAAGGGCGGCCCTCGTCGGCGGGCTGTATGACTCGTACGTGAACTTTAGCAACACGAGCAGTGCGACAGCAGACGCAGTATCGGTGGCTTTCTTGTCGCCAGCGATCCAACAGATCGCAGCTGCGACGAGCAAAAGCGAAGTGTTTCAGCTGGCGGGCAACTTGTCGAGAGCAGGGACTTCTTTTTTGACACAGCTCGGTGTGGCGGCGGATGCTAAAGATGCGACCACGTATGCATTGTACGCGTCTCAGACGGGTCTTACGCTGCCCGACCCGCAGTATTACATGGACCACAAACGGTTTGACTCGATTAGCGACGCCTTCCATGCGTACGTCGTGGAATTGTTTTCGCTGATCGGATGGAAGTCGCATAAAGCAGCGTCGCAAGCTTCCTTGGTGATTGCGTTTGAACAAGCACTTGCACCGTTGTTTGTAGCGAAAGAGAAGCTGCAGGATCCGGTAGCATCGTACAACCGCATGAGTGTGGCACAAGCCGCTGAGGAGTATCCGTTGCTATTCGCACAGTTCGTGGATGGAACGGGGATGCTGAAGGACCTTGTATCTCGGAACGCTAGTATGATTGTCCGAACGCCTTCGTTCTTTGAGCGTGTTGAGGAGCTCGTGACTGGAGATTCGGTGACGCTCGACACTCTGAAAGCCGTGCTTACGTATCAATACATCAGCACGTATGCAAGCACCCTGAGTGAGCCCTTCGTCCAGGCGTCTTTTACCTTCTTTGCGCAAACGCTCCGGGGTCAGAAGACACGTGCTCCACGATGGAAAGTGTGTCTTCAGCGCGTTATCGACAACTTTCCTGATTTGGCCGGCAAGTACTTTGCGCTTCTTCGTTTCGATGAGGCTAGTGAGCAACTCGCCAACCAGCTTGTGACACAGATTCAAGCGTCGCTGCAGAAAAAGTCTCATGCATGTGGACTGGCTGGACGAACCCACTCGACAAGGTGCTCTCGAAAAGCTGGGCAACATGACTAACCGCATTGGGTGCTCGAATCTGTCCAAACATTTTCCATACGAACTACACGGCGAGGCACCACTTGTTGAAAACGTGCGGATCATCTGGGAGCACGAATTTGATCGAGCTGTGGCACGGATCGGTGGCCCGGTAGACCGCAACGAATGGGCCATGACGGGCGCTGCTGTGAACGCGTACTACCAGCGAACGACCAACCAGATCGTCTTTCCTGCTGGCATTCTTCAGCCTCCGTCTTTTTCCCGCGAGCAACACCCGGCACGCAATTTTGGGGCGATTGGCAGCGTCATGGGACACGAACTCACACATGGTTTCGATTCGTCTGGAAGGTTCTTCGATGGTGACGGCAATTTGCAGGACTGGTGGAGCAATGGCACAGCAGCGGAGTTCTTACAGCGGACCGACTGCCTCGTGAAGCAGTACAATGCGTTTGCAGTGAACAGCGGTGCGGATCAGGACAAAGTGCTGGGTCACGTCAACGGCAATTACACTTTGGGCGAGAATATTGCGGACAACGGTGGCGTGAAGTTGTCCTTTCATGCGTATCAAACCTACATCGCCAAGCAAACCACGGAACTGAGCAAGGTCAACAACAAAGGCGAAGCGACACCCGTTTTAGGAAGCCAGACCGAGTCTGATTTACCTGCCGACGTGGCTGACAAGCTCTTCTTCATCTCGTTCGCCCAGGAGTTTTGCTCAAAGGAGAGCGACGCCAGCATGATTCGAAGCTTGGCGACAGATCCGCACTCGCCCGCCCAGTGGCGCATCAATGGTGTTGCAAGCAACTCACACGACTTTGCACGCGTCTTCTCGTGCCCTGCTGGTTCACGCATGAACCCGACGACAAAGTGTCAGCTGTGGTAGATTTGCTTCGGTATGCACGATGAGAGTCGGTCCGTGGGTCTTTCTGCTAGTTCTACACGATAAGAGAGCTGCTCTGCTTTTCAATCAGCTTGACTTTTGCCTCTGCGTCATCATCGTCATCTACGTTCGCAATCCCAAAGCAGCGCTCGCCCACATTCTTGATCAGGCCGCGGTCGTACGAACGCACTTCGCCGCCACGCTGAAAACGGTAGCGATCTGCATTGAGCAACTCGTTTGTGGTGCGGTTGCGAGCCGTGAGGTAGATGTGAAATACCATCAGCTGAGCCACCGGAAGCAGCACCAGCAGGAGGTAAATCATGCTCAAGACTGCATAGACGCGCATCTCGTGATGATAACGCCAAAGTAGATACAGCACGTACTCCATTCCAACTAGGTCCACGGCTAGGAAAGTGACGAAAGATCAGGAATGCTGCGTAGTTATCGCGACCCACGCAATTGTCTACAAATGGGCAGCTACATGAACACAAGTCACAGCTTCGTCAATCGCACTTGTCAGTCATTCCAGCAATGGCAATTTACTCATCACTCACTGATGATCGAAAACGGGAACACATGTCTTGCAAATCCGGCAGTGCTTGGAGCGCAACGGTCGCTGAATGTGGCACGTGTGACACAGCGGGCGCTCGATGCATTCCCGCTGAGCACGAACGCTCACTCTTTCTCCGCGTTTGTCTTCCTCTTCGTCGTCATCGTTTCCGCGAATTAGGGCTTCTGTGACCTCATTGTACGCTATTGCATACTTCTCATCGTCGTCACAAGCACTTCCAGGCCTGGTGGTCACAGCGCGGTAGAAAAAGTACCACGTCACGGCATTCCACACCAGGTGCGGCACCATCACATTGCGTCTGTCTGGCATAGCTGGCAGCACAACAAACAGATACAAGAGCGAGATAATCACCGCATTGAGCACTGTGAAGTGGTATGGCGCCCGGCTGCCTGCATCACACCACCACGTAAAGGCCGCAATGTTCGACGCCGCATCGCGCAGCTCACTCTGTTTAAGGTACCGCGCAACATCTCGAAAGTTTTTCAACTGCGCCAAATCTCTCGGCGTCCGTTTCTTTGCATCCAGTGCCTTGACATCCGCCTCCAACGTCTCAACGAGAAACTGCACTGTCTGCAACTCTCCTCGCATTGCTGCAAGATGCAGTGGCGTCTGGCCAAACTTGTCGGGCGCGTCGCACTTTACTTTTAGGTACTGGAACACAGCCACAATCTCCGTCGCGCCTTTGTACGCTGCCCAATGCACAGCCGTATCTCCATCCACGTCCACGAGCGTCACGTCAGCGCCGTTTCGCACGCAAAACAGCACAACTAGCGGATGTCCGTTCTGCGCGGCCACGAGCAACGGCGAGCGATGTTTTCGTGCATCGCACGTGTTCACATCGACGCCAAGTTGCAGCACCAACGCCTTTACTGCACTCAAGTTGCCAGCTGCACAGGCCCAATGAATCGGATGCAATTGAGCGCCGCCGTCTTCGCTTGGAGAATCGATCGGTGCACCGATAGAGTGCAAATAGACCATAAATGCGCCACTAGCTCGCTGAGCTGCCCAATGAGCGATCGTATGGCCCTGAGCGTCTCGTCGTTCACGCGCAACTTCGTCGCCGTATTGAGCCACAAGCTGCACGAACTGCGGCAAATTGTTCTGCTTTGCACATAAGAATATCTGTTCAGTCAACGTCAGTGGCTGGGGCGCTGGAGCGGGAGATAGAGAGTCAGCAGAAGGACAGGTGTGGTTTGGACAGACGTGATCGTGGCGATGTTGTGCTTCTGACGCGCATTGTGTGCGCGGAGACGCAGCAGAAGTGGGTCCAATCGAAAGAGGAGATACTAAGGAAGGAGATAGGACAGGTGGGGATGGAGCCGGATCGACAGGGGACGCGTGCGAGGGCGGAGAGATAGAGATGACGACGTCGCTGTGGTCCATGGTGAGACTTTTGACGCACGACGTGGAATGGACCGAACGGCGTAAGGGGATTGGTGGAAATACAATACGGTTAAAGACGACACGAAATTGTGAAAAGGGCTCTATCGCCAGTCTTTTGGGTTTTTTGACCGAGGACGTATCTACCTCCATGAAGTAATATATTTGTTTGCAAAGATTGTGGACTCGGATTTTTCTCGCATACTTGGAGCAAAGCAAAGAAATTGTCGTCATCGAAAGCTGTGAGCGCAACAGTTTCAACGAATCTTGCAGCAGTCTTTCAACGTCAATCGCTTAACCTAATGTTACTTGTTGTGCTGATGGTCTTTGTGACGAAAGGTTTGGCAGTTGTTGTCTGTGTCTTGACGAACATGACACCTTCAGCGCTTCGTATAAGTACTTGGAGGAGTTATGCACGCGCAATGTCCGGTACAACTCGCTGCATTGAACTCATCTTCCAGTGCGTGCACACACTTGGCAGGATCCACGGATACCTCTCTCCAGGACTTTCGAAAAGAGATGGTTAAGCAGCATCTGGTCGTCATAATTGGTAGCGCTCGTCCGCAAAGGCCCTCGACGCGCTGTTTTGACCCCGTTGGCATATATATTCAAGGTAGGGTGGTTGACTGGAAGCAGGCACGATTTACATCTGTCACATCTACAGTTTCCATATGGCATGCCTTACTGTGCGTGTGAGATTACTAGCAACTTCGCGCTCTGTTGTGCATCGGCACCATTTGCTGCCTTCGCCTGCTTCGATACAAGGTAGTAATGCTGGGGTGAAGGTGCGATCCGTTAGCCGCGGATTGTACATCGATGTCGACGTGCTGACGGTGAGCGTAAAGGCATTTATAAAGCTCCACAAAATGTTTGTGATAACAAAACGCTTTGGTACCAGGTACACATCAGTGTTTGAATGTTGTAATTAGTTGGACCCCACAAATACCAGTAAATCCATTCGTTCGTTTTATGTGGATGGGGCGAATTGCGGAAGACGTGGGAAGGGCGTAACACAGGTTCCCGTTCAACATGACTATTTGTTGGTTGGCTCGACAAACGTGTTGCGACATCCTTTTAAAGAACAAAAATGCTATTTTACAAACTTCAACGTGATTCGTTTCGCTTGACAGATGTGAGGCAACTGGACACGTTCACATTAAAATAGCGTCGACAAAGATGGTTTAAGAAGTGACAAAGTGAGTAAGTCGACATTGGCATGGAATCGATACGGTCCTAGCGTTCCAACACGCCAGTACGTTGCACAGTTGCAGATTCTATACCGAAGCGATTAAACTGCTTTTGCATGGGGTGCTCGATGTTTTATGTCTGTGGTGGACACTGCGCCACTGTCACGTGGAGCAGATATATACGATCTGTTGATCTTCGCTCACGCATGACGTCAGCACACGGTAGCTCCGAATGGACGTGCTACAATGCATTTACTCTGTTTCTGCCTCATGTTATATGGTGGCGATAGAAAGGGTGATTCATGAGTGGCAGCAATTACACTAGAAGATTGTTACGCACCAAGTGAATTACGTCTTTATCGCGATGTATCATCACAATCGTATCACACTGACCATTGCGGCTAGCGAAGCAATTGCATCTACCATGAGATACATTCTGCTGAACTATCGGGTGTCTACCACGACTGCGACTGACTGTGCAAAAAGGTAAACTTGCCATCAGTCGTAAATGCCTCCCCTTGCGGTCGGCAGTCAATGTCAAGCATATCGCAAAAGGTTGCTGTATCTTGCCGTCGTAGACAACGTTGGCTTTCTCGAAGCTAAAATAGTATTGATACCTACTTGCGGGTACCTGCTACGGCATCGTTTTCTACGCACCGCAATCTCCACCGAGACATTGGCTTGCGTCGCTCACGGAAGGCTGAATAATTGTTCAAACTGGTCAAGGTCATGACTGGTTGCTCACACCCTTTACCTCGCCATGCAATCCTGTATGTCGAGTGTAGCAGGACACTAGTGACGACAAAAGGGCCACCCCGTTACATCGACTCTTGGTGAATAGAAGCCCGCACAATTAAATCCACAGGTGCTGTCCAAACAAATTACGACAATTCCCCTTATATTTTACAAGCTTGGCCTTGTACCAAATTCGAATGCTCTTGGAGCCGTTTACATCTTTTGCTTCATCAGGCACCCCTGGCCCGAGTACTGTAGCAACTTTCAATCTATGAGCGGCTATCCACATTTTGGCAATGACCTCGATAAGTTAGCTTTGTTGAGGAGGTACTGATGTTGCCGTCTAGTTTTGCTGAAAACGAGCGTACATCGTACAGCAAAGTGTGACAGCTGGAATCGACAGTTGGCTCCACATAGGAGTAGATAAGGTACGGTAAGCCTCGTTCTGCATTAGACACAGTCTCGCCTTTACTCGGTCTCGCCCTGTCTCTCTTAGCAACGCCACATGGACCTAAAAGATCTTCTGCCAGCCATAAGCGTGTTTCTAGATTGCGCACTGTTATAGCATCCTTGTCATATATAATTTTGGCGCTCGAAAGTGCACCACAGTTTTGGATGGAATACCCCACCCTTGTCAGCGAAAATCCAATTACATCATCGTACTCGGGCCTCGCGTGCGATCCATCATCACCAGCTTATACAAATAACACCAGATAAACTAGCAGCCCTTGCTACAAATGCGATGAGGTTCTACGCTGGGTGAGACTTGTCTATAGCATGGTTTCGCAAAGTCCTGGAATATATCCGGATAAGTTTGGGCTTCTGGTATGCGAGAGGATGTATCATCTGACCGATGTCCTAGACTAATAACGATATCAAACACAAGGAAGCGTGGAGATGGCACATGGAGGTGTGAACTCAGCCACGCTCGCAATCATTCGAGGCTCGCCTTGACCTAAATTTGTCGATCTCAAGATGACGCTCTATGGTACCTTCGTTACAGCAGATATCTCAGGCTGAGCGTTTTTCTGACTACTTTGCGATCTCTTCGCCAACTAGTTTGATGATCGAGCCACCTCCTTTTGGCACAGTTGCACAGCTTCTGTATCTGTGTCATAGTTACCCTCGGTTTACACTCTAAAAATGATCAGCGGCACAAGGGAACGTCTAGTATTTTTTTCTGCTGAGATATGGTCCATGCGTATTAAAACTGAGGCCTGAATCTTATGAAACTAGTAATCATACCACACACTCGGATCAATTCAATCTAAAGAATACATGATTGTCGGTTAGCTTGACAATGTGCGATATGAGTGTCGTGGTACGAAGTTTACGTCCCAAAGACCGCAAAAGTACTTCTGATCAGGTAACTCGTGTGCGAGCCGCCCGATTTGTATACGACGCCAAGTATCCGGCAGGTCCATGTAGATACATCGGTCGAGTCTACCACTGCAGTAGGCCAGATGGACGCAAAAAGCACCACTTTTCTTTTCGATCTTGTCCAACTTTGTTGTTTGGCGATTGAAGGCGAGAGCCATTGGATACCATTTTTCTTTGTCCAGGCTGTTGCAAAGCACAAACCAGTACTCGATATCGATGAATCCAACACATCCGAAATAGACACATACAGTCACCCGTGTTATGTTTTGTACACATGCAAACTCCATAGGTCTATCATACCTTTTGATTTCGACATTTAACTTTGACGGCATCGATCCAAAACACGTGGAAGTCGTCTGACGATCCTGAATCACTGATCCCTCGTGCCTGTAATGGCCAAAGGGAGAACAAGACGATGAACGACACCCGACTAACTGTCGCGTTATCGGCGGTGATACATGAACTGACCGACCCGTACACCACCAATAGACTTGAGCGATATGAAGATAGAGAGACCAGTGGCCGTGGAAAATGCAAGACTGTCCGTCATCACCACGTGTATTACACACATGACTGGCGAATACCAAGTCAAATATCTTCGCTAGTACTCATTGCTGCTACCAGAAAATTGACGCTGCTCATTTTTCTAGACGTGGTGAAAGTCTTTGAGCTTTTCGATTGGAACGACAAACTTCGTCGTTCAACTCTGACCACCAAGCTGCTTCCTTGCTTTCCCCCGCCATACTGTCTGATCCTGACCCTTGGGTAGTAGTAAAAAACATGGAACGATCTCGTTAGTACGCTGATCTAGCCGACGCGGTATTTATAAGAAGCCATTTTCTTCTACAGAGTATGAGTGTTGTCGATCACTTCGATGGCAAAAGTCCCTAGGCTCAACATGTCGGTTATTGTGCCATGTTCACGGACTTCAAAGAAGCTAGTCATCCTGTGCACTTCGTACATTTAATAGCCTATCGTTGGAAGCATCGAGGTAGATCAGTGCTGTCCCTTCTCGGCCTCCATACACGTAGCTTTGCGCGAACGGTCGACACACGTGTCCTTCGTGAGATGTATCGCAGCGATTGTGCGAACGCACTGTCGTGGATCCTGATCGCCTCCAGAATGAAAGCGCATAGTACGTGTACGAGTCCATTGCCCCGCCAGCAGAACTCCACTAGACACCTTTGACGCCAGATGCTACAGCAACGCGTCACAATGTTGACGACCGATCTTTAAACTGAATTGCAAGCACTTCACGCAATCGGCACAAACGCTCAAGGCCACCAAGCGCGCTGCACGTGATCCGTAAGAAGGTCTATTGCGGGTTAATGGGGCAGATAGTCGTCGCTCATTTTATCGATAATTTGGCGCTTCGTACTCGAGAATATGGTAGGCCAGCTCAACCAGATGTGCAAGCCATGTCAGGCGCGTTGTAGGGTACAATCCGTTTCACTTATTCAGCCATGTGAGTTCCGCTCGCATTTGTTCCAAGGAGAATCGAGAGTACAACTCTTTGGTCCGAGGTGCGTGTTCACGATGCTGCTGACCTGCAAGCTTGTACTTGGCGATCGATCCTTGTCTTCGGGTTGGTGTACAGACGAAATCCAGATCGGCCAGCAAGCTGCACTCTCGACGAAGTATTTCGCATTCGACATGCTTTCCTGGTTGAAGTCGTTCAAAATGGTAAGCCATCTTCGAGTGATGTTATAACTACGAAAGGAGATGCGACGGAGGTCCGTCGGACTGAAGTTTGTACGCAGCACTCACTGATGAAACCTCGCAGTCATCCAGATGTTGACGGGTTTGAGCTCTGTAACGCGATGGAGGAGCTAACGACGTATGGTAGCATGTTTCTTCGACAGAGAGTTATGGGAGCACTGCGCATCATGGAAAAACAGATCAGCGGGTTTGGTGCGCGAACCTCTCGGTGGTGGGATATTCTGTCCGGGATCGAACGCACCAAAACTGATGTGTACTCTTGCTGCATCACCTGTCCGTAATGCAAGCGCCCACCACGATGCATGCGTTCGTCCATGTCATGTCTGCAAGTCTCGCATGCAGTAACAAATGATGATCGCAGCCATCAGAAACAATCATTTGCAGCGAGTATCATCAAAGTTTGCATACTCACGACTTTTACTCTGACGACAAGCCCTCGACGTGTCATCTAGCCGTGATAGATAAGGGAATCAAAGAAGTTGCTACGTGCGAATCGGCCTCGACAAAGCAAGGCTTTCATGTGTATAGCTTCGTGCAAATACGCTGAGCCACGGCCGAGGAAACTTACGATACGACCAGACGGCAATCTGGTATGCCTTGCATGTACTCAACTGGTAGTAGCTTTACGTCGGCTTCCATACGTGGTCGGGGCTTACGATCAACCAAAGCGCTTACTGTCCACAACAGGAAGACTAGACTACGACTTGTCAAGATGGAGGAGTTTTATGATCGTCTATTTACATGTTAAGATGTGCAAGATGTCTGAAAAGTCCTGAACCAGGATACGAGCGCCGGAACGGTTAGCTCATCGTGGCTGAAAGTCAGTGAAGCCTGGTGACCTGTAGGAACTTGGCTGATAATGTCCAGGCAGGCGTGAAGACGCGCCCCTCTGACCGCTGTAGCTGCGGACCGATGTTCTCGCATAGCGATTGCTTTCAACTGCCGCAGACCGCTTCGCCAGAATGCTAGGGCACTTTGAGCCGGAGAAGTGGTCTTCCCTCGAAAGATTACCGCATTGCGCTCCACCCAAAGATGCACCTGACACAAGGAGCATAACATAAGCCAGATCCGACGGTATTCGTCTGCCGCTGCCGTGTGATCACCCCCAAAACGATCAATTAGGAGCTGCAGCAAACGCGGTGGAAGCGGAGGCGCCCGTCGATGGGTGAAATACCGAAAATGACCCGACACAGCGGATTCCTGAACCCCCTCACCAGACCAATGACAGAGCAATAGGCTCCAGCAGGCTATCGCAGTTGAACAATCCCAATAAGATGAGTGACAGTCTCTTTGCGCCCCCTGCAGTGCTCGAGTTTCCGGCAACTGGGATCATCGGAGCGTCCGGCGTGATATAAATTGAGCTAATTGGTTGCGATCCGATAAGCCGTCCACACTTGGTACTCCGTAAGACTGTCCGCGTGCCGCCAAATTTGAGCGGGGCTTTGGACTTGTCAAGATGATCGTGTGTGTTTTGCGACTGCGTTTCGCGTAATTCATGGTCTCGATTCCTCTTTCAAATCCCGCACTACCTTTACTTCGATAGAAGACAGAGGTGTGACGTCACAAGCATCAAGACCGCGAGAAGCTGCGCAGCTGGAAGTACACACTGTCAAACGGTCTCGACACTTGCCAGACCATCCTTGATGCACGAAAATTGACGAAGCAGTCACCGCAATCGTGTTTACGCGCTGATTTATCCTTTCGTGTGGACAGACAACTTGCAATAGAGAATTGCTCAGCTGTCCAATGCTTTCGCGAGCGTTCATGGTGAGTACAGAGAGAGAGGTGTGCACTCGAGAATGTGTGAGCCGGGCAGGTCAGTGTCAATGTTAGACGGTGCGACCTCGCTCTTTTATGACCTACATCGTTTACGCTTTTCGGGCTGAGAAGACACCATTGCCACAAGCGTAGAATCAGCGGACCTGCTTTGTCGCTTCCGGAAGCGAGTACCCCTCTAGACCAACCAGGCGCCTCCCACGAGACTTGCCGTCGGAGATAATCATGCCGCTCTTTCTTACAGCTAAAGTCGTGGGTTCAGAGAAATCCAATAGCTAATCCTGCGAGTCAAGAGCATACAGCTTCCGTTCCAGAACGGCTGTCGCTCTGTTTATCGGCAGCAAAGACCGCACCAAGACGTAGCACCGCGCATCTTTCGTGTTCACTGTGATGGGCATGATGGGAGAATCATCGGACCATCATCAAGTGCAGTCGCGTAGCAATCTACATGCAGTACGCGTTGTGGTATTAATCTAGCGTTGTACACGGTGGAGACCTCAAGAGGCTACGTAGGCCAGCACAAACGCCTAGTACAGTACGAGTGAATACTCGTTTGCGCAAGCGACCTCCGCTGCGAGAATCGATTAGTCACGTTGAAGCTACGGGAAAAACTGCTGACTTGCGTCACCGTAAGCAATGCAGACAGCTGGAAGCCTATCCACATTGAGTCAACACGTCGTTCGAACCCTACCGATTTCCGCAGACGGCCCACCATCCCGTCGCCTTGTCACCTTTCACCGGATGGCACGCGCTCTTCGTCGGTTGTGGCGACGCCATGCGCTCGTAAGAGACTGCACGTGACTGAAACTTCAGTCACATGCTGCTGTCACGACCGACTTCGATCTCCTAACCCAAACGCTGACGAACCAGTCAAGCAGAGTGGTGTGTATTCGAAAGACTGTCGTTCAGCTGTAAACCACTGCGCTTGTCAAAGATCGCATCGCCCCACCCAGTTGGCTCCCAGCGGCTCCTTGCCACACAACGGCTCGAGCATCGACAGAAAGGCCGCTCGCTGCCTGTCCGCGTGTTCTTCCCTCCCGGTTCATTGTCGCCATTCCAGAACCACTTTGGGTGAGACTTAGGATGGGGTTGGGCTCCAATGAACAGGTCGAAAGAAAGACCGCGAGCGTGCGATGATGCCGCCAAGATTGATCCACCACGCATAAACAATGAAGGGCACAGCACTTTCTGACGTCAATGGTGTCCACAGCAAACAGCCATGGAAATCGCATCGAACTTCCATGTCGCGATAACGTGCGCTGTATTCCGTTAGCGCGCTTGACTCTCTGCATCACGTGAGCGAGTCAGCCTCAGTCTCTATCCTACTGACTCGTTGAGAGACTAACGCATGCGCCAGTCGCTGCTCGAGTCCTCTGACGCCAACAAAGTGGTCCGACTACTTGTTTTTCTTGCCCGATCTCTGTCCCCGCGAATTCGTACTCTGCACACGGACTTGCCCTCGATCGTGCGGTGTTGATGATGCAATTGCATCTGGCAAGCGGACTGCCTGGAATACGTGCCTGCATTCGCTGCGCCAGTAATCGGTAGTGGTCCGGCTGCAGCCCATCGCCTCATTTCTTGTGCTGGCAGCAGCTCAGTTTGAGCGCAGCAGCCATCGGTGAAGGAGAGCAATGTACACGCAGTGGGTGACGCACCTGCGTTCTCGCGCGCGGGACAGGTCCGACAAGGCGGCAAGCGGCAAATTTCGCGTTCGTCCCATCGCGAAGACATAAGGTCGAGCCATGTAGACCGCTCGTATCGCAACTGCGTCTTCGGAGACTCATCCATTGTATATGTTGGTAGAGCTCGCCAAGTAGGATGGATATTAGTAACAAAGGCGAAGGCTACAGAGCAGAAACTCGCACGTTGTACGTCAGGTTAGACTCGCTCTCGATGCCATAGTGGCGCAGCTCCAACAAAGTCTGCATTGATACTTGGCCGGGTCATCAGCACATGACGACGGCGTCTCTCATTAACGTTGCATCATGCAGCCAGCAAGAGTCAGCGCCATGACAGGACTACCTCTGGCAAACATGACGCGACGAAGTCGTTTGCTCGCCAGCGTTACCTGCATCAAGCCCGGCAACTGGATGGACATGTACTGCAGCTTAGGCACTGCTTGTCTCATGCGATAGACAACAGCACCCGCTTCTACCAGCGACTAGGCTACTGCGTGTGATCCCCCTCTTTGCAATTCGTGTCATGTCCAGGTTTGGGATTCCAAGCTGGTGATGCCGTACGACGCGTTTTGTGGATTTTCCTTGAACTTACACGTTTGCCGACAGCACGCTCGAGTCTGTCACAATTCCTGCGACGCTGAACCGAGATCTGGACTATGCGCTAGATGGACCACACGAGTCCGTGAAGAGAAATTTTCGCTGGCAGTTGTTCGCTCGACGCGCTGTCGCAGTGGAAGGATCACCGGGATCTATCCCATAGGTACCGACCGACCGACATGATTGAAGCGAGCGATGGGGTCAGTCGTTGTCTCATAAATGTTAGCGTGGGCAGCAAGTCGCCGCCAAGTCAGCTCGTCGGTCGTGCATCGCAGAGTGCGAACAGTAAAGAAGACAACATGGTGAAAGTGCCTGGCGATGATGAAAGTGCCTGGCGATGATGAAAGTGTTTAGGCGTTCATTTGGTATCATCTGAGGTGCACGATGCGCTCTCCGGGTCTCGCGCGCCTCTGAAAACGACCGCAGCCCGTGTGATCGACGACAAGAGGCGACCACGGCGTTTGAGCCAGGGATAAGCGCGGCAGGATTAGATGGGAAGGCGCGGCCTCCATGTGCACATTCTCTACAACCGCTAGATTTTGAGCGGAGTTTACGGCTGCAAAGCGATGGGCTCTGTCTGGTGCGTGCGAAGTGGCCGGTCGCCGTACTTGAGCCCGTGGGATGGGCCTTCGATGGTGGAGCTCCCAGCTGAGTATCCTGGTACCACTCCGAGCGCGAAGGTCGGTCGAGTGTCTCTGCCACTCGAGAGAGTCGATCGTGACATAGCTTTCATTCACGAATTTGCGGCCACGAGCTCCGGTCCACTCGACACGGCCACCAGTGAACAGCGCGAGGCACAGCGTCATTTCGACTTTTGCCACGACACAATGAGCTTCGCATCGCCCACGCGTCAACCTCATCCTCAAAGCTCCACCAGCAAGTCCTCGCCCGTCGGCGTCGGCATGTGGACCGAAGAGGAGCACGCGCGTTTCCTCGATGGGGTCAAACTCTTTTCGAGTGGTCCCTGGAAACGCGTCGCGGCTTACGTCGGCACGCGCAACGTGCGCCAGACCATGACGCACGCCCAAAAGTACCGTCTCAAAGCTGCACGGCGACTCCGTGAGGCACAGCGGAAGCAAGCGGCGGCTCGATATCGACTGCGGGCTGTCCACCTCAACCGAACGATCGAGTCTTCACCTGGGCGACGACCGCCGCAGGACCTGTCGTTGAGCAAGGGGTCAGGCCTCGGGTCGTTGTCAAAGATGCGGTTGCCTTGCAGCTGCCTCGAGAAGCACTGCTTGCACACGACGGACGAGAGCAAAGTCTACATGTCCATTGCCGACGCTGTCGAGATCCTCGACTCGAAGGCCTCGCATTTCACAGGCTCCCCCGTCTCAACAGACGACGCGTTGAGCAACCCATGGCTGGACATGGGCAAGCTGGACCCGGTCGTGAGTCTCGAGGCCTTCGGCAGCGACGACCTCGTTCCTCTCGACTCGACCGTGAAAGAGTCGGTGGCGTTTCCCACGCTCGAGGACTGTGCGAGCGAACTACTCGAGTTGCTGTTCTGAGTGAACTGCTTTACCACTGCACCATCGAGTACGAGCGCGTGGCGTCGAGAGGAAGGGGACGTTGACGCGCAACCACAACCACAACCACAGCATTACCACACGCACCCACACGCACACCCACACACCACCCACACACGCACAACAACCGACCGGCCGACCCTGTATGTATCCAAGTTTGTCGTCTGCCTGATTGCATGCTAGTTTCCAGTCTGTACCAATGTAATGCAGTATCGATCATTGATCTCCTCCTCAGACCTCTTCCCACGTCCATTCGTCCTCCCATACAACGAACCATCCATCGAGGCAACTGGAACGACGTGTCGCCGTGACTTTGTCGTCAAGTGTCGTTTTTGATGACGGCGGACGACACACTCTGTCTTTCTGGTTGTGCCTTTTCTTTGTGGTTTGGGCAAATTTTCCGCGGCCTGCATGTGGCGGACGCGGTCGGAAGAAAAAGGGCGATCCCTTCGGGCTGTCGAAGCTGCGGCATACACTGAGGCGCAAGGCCTTCTTCGGCCAACGAACGGGGGGGGGGGGCGAGTGCACGACGAGCAATTGTTTGAATACTGACCCTCTTGTCTTTCGTAATCATGTCCCACGCGAATGAAACGATGGTGAGATCTTCGGGCTGGGCTGATTACGCAAGCAGTAGCGTTCTCGCGCGCGAGCGGATCGAGCAGCTACGTGACGACCCGAACTGAGGCGCGATCAGTGTCAGCTTGTCATCAACAGTCATCGATCACTGGCATTACTCGGCCTGACTTGGCCAAGGCGGTCGGTCAGCTATCTTCGTCTGAACACCACAATGTCCCGCGCTGAGACTTTGGGTTGCTAGAGGCACCACGAGTCGTCAGTTGGTAGTAGCTTTTCAAAAAGGGGGGCACGGGGCACGGGGCAGTCACTGCACCATACAATCGATGGGCAGTGGGAAACTCTCATGGGAAACTCCTCCTCTTTCGTTATCGACAGAGTTCGCGTCAGAGGGACCTCGTCCACTGGATATTTTGGAAGCACACTGCTAGTGGATGCCACTGCATACGTCCACGCCTACGCGATGCAGTCTGTGTACGTACGTTCGTCGGCAGACGAGGCACGCGACGTTCGGACTACGTACGTGTGCGCTCGATGAGCGTTGGCGGGATGTGTAACCGAGCACGAAAGAAGGAATGGAGCCCAAGACGGCCGTGAACAGCGCGGAGTTTCTTGGTATTCCCGTGCAAAAGGAACGGGCACATGACGAGGAGTTTGCAATATGTTGTGGGGAGAGTGGAGCGAGCGCATGGGTGTGGCGGAGTTGGAGTGGCTTCCATGATGATGGCGTGCAAGATACAGCCAGCAAATACAATACAGTATGCGTAGTTCACCCGACGCAAGGACGTGTAGTTTTTGCTTCACAGGCATATCGGTATTTCGAGGTGCAACGCTGACCTGGACAGAAGAAGTATCTCGTTTTGTAGGACGATAGCAACAGCTCTCGAAAGTCTGTAGGAGAACTCGCTGCAACGGGTCGCTTTTGTAGATCAATGGCGGGGCCGGGCCGCTTCCTGCCTCTACAGCGAACTCACACGTCCTTTGGCTTTTTAGTGCGTTGCTGGCTCAATGCTGCGGGTAGTGCGTTGCCATGAAGTGTAGTGACTTGCGGCGTTACAACAAACGCCAGCAGCAGTTTCGGCTTCACGACAACGAGCTCACGGAGTGGCAGTGCGACAACAGATGCTATCGGCCCGTGAAAAAGTGTCACCACACGAGGTGTTGAAAGCTTCAACGCCGACGTGGCGCGAGCGAGACAATGGAACATATCTATTGGACAAGTGCGTGCGCAAGAACTGCGGGCAGAAGCTCATCTCCCCTATGAACAGACACCTCGGCGGGCCGACACGAGGACACAACATGCACGACTGCTGGTTCTGCCGAAGCAGGATAGTCAGACAACATCAAGGATCGTTCCACTTGAGATGTGGTGCCCCTCGTTGCTGACCAGGCTCGGACACATCCGACGTCCTGCAATCATCGAGATCTCCCCACAACAGTGGACATCCGTCCGCCTATCGCGTGTAAAGGATAGCGAAGAAGTGGTCCATCAGACAGCCCTCGTGCAAATCAAATCAGAGCCGCCTGACGTTGCGTCAAGGGCGGCCCACGGTAAAGCCGACTGCCCTTATGTCTGCACGAGGGCAGTTGCCCCCTCACGACCAGCTAATCCGGTGGACTAACGTCACCAGATGTCTCTCTCGAAAACGTGCCATCCGTGGAAGTGGTCCGAGCACTCTGCTCTTCTTCCTCCGCTCAGCACTCGCACGAGTACCGACAGAGATTGGCTCGGGAAAGGGAAGACGCAGCGACTTGACAGTGGTCTGTGCAGCTGCAGCTCAGATGGTCCACAGCGTGCGCAACAACGACGAACTGGTCGCATTGACGCTGCGTTGCTGCACCATTCCCAAATTTTCACGGTTCAGCTCAAGCCAGTCCCATGACCCTTCGGGGCGGCCACGTCGGACGGAATCCTCCCCTCGGGGAGCCGACAGGGTCGAAGATCTGACACGGGCTCACTGCACTCGCTGTCTCGGGTGGGACCACAGGCGACCGACAGGTCGCGCAAGCGGCCGTGCAGGAGCGTTTTACGGACTGGAGGCGTACCCCGCGCCCCGTGTCGCCGCTGCATCGGGCGCACACTCCACGTCGAGGGGCCGCGCTAGCGGCTAAAGGGTTTTCCCTACGACATGTGTCGTCGCTTCGGCGATTGCACACTTTGTGGTCATCCGCCCGCTTGGGCGGCCGTGACAGATCACGAGCGATACACATTTGTTCCTTGGCGACAGCAGCCGAGTCAGACGACCCGAGAGCGCCACGTTCGGTGACGCATTCCGTACATCCACCGGACTCGAAGGAGCACCGGCGGTGTCTTTCGGCCTTAGGAACTTTTCAGACATCTCGCGACCTGAAACAGTTCAGAAGACGGTCCTTAATGGCAGCTGCTAAGAAGCACAACGTCTGTGACGTGTGTTGTCCATTGCAATAGTTCTCTTGTGTACCCACGCGCTCGACTTTGTACTCGATCTGGTGGGGTCAACAAGCAGTAAACGCGTTCGCGCCAAGTGCCACGTCCACCTCTGATCGTACAATTTTTTGTCCCTATCTGCTAATGTGCCAATACGAATGCCGCGCACTTTTCGAGACTGCACGTTCGGCATCACATCGAAGCGAGGTCCGTACTCGCTCGTTGCTGCCGTATAGCTACTGACCTATACGGCTTGTATCGAATCGCCCGCGAGGTGATCGACCGTCGATAGTGACCTTCAACATCAGGAGACACGCTGTTCGTTGACCAATTATAATCGAACGCACATTCAACATCCCGTCTGCCGTAACGATCGCTCTATTCGGCAAAGATACGCAGCAACACAAGCCCCTGCAGCACCCAACCCCACCCTTGCCCTCTATTCACCACCACCCCTCCCTCCACCGCCCCCCCCGTCCTGTTGGAAAAAAGCAGAAAATAGCGTCGTCGTCGCCCCACGTCTCGAGCCCCCGCGTCGCGCTATTCGCTTCCCGCGACCATGGAGACCGCCGCCCTGCCCCTCGACCGCGGCAACGTCGCCATGACGTCCGTCGTGTCGCACCAGCGCTCGCCGGCCGCGCCGCCCCCGCACGTGCTCTCGGACGGCTCGCTCACGCCCAGCAACGACTCGGCGCTACGGCTCACGCGCCGCCGCCACAGCGTCCACGACCCGGCCACGCCCACGCGGGGAAGCGCCGTGCTTAAAAGCACTTTTTCACCTACGGCACGCCCGACGGCCCGACCCCGATTTGCGCCCATCCTGTCCAACAGACTACCGCCGCCACGCGGCTACTGCGCCACCCTCTCGGCCCTGTCGAGGCCCCGTCGGCGCCGGCCGTCCCGCGCTGCCGCGCGCTCGCGCTCGAAGTGCTCGTGAACGGCACGTCGGGCGTCATCGCGTTCCTCCTGTCGTCGACGCTCGCCGTGTCGTGCGCCAGCGTCGTCGTGGGCCACGGCACGCCGCTCGCGTCGGTCATTGCGCCGTTCATCGACATGAACCTGCTCGGCACGGCCGTGCTGTCGGTCGTGTTGGCCTGGCAGAGCCGCGCGCCGTACACGTTGGGCTCGATCGACGTGTTCGTGGCGCCCGTGATGGCCGACATGGCCGACAAGATCTCGACGCACCTGCACGGCGACCTCGCGACGGTCGTGCCCACGACGGTGGTCATGATCGCCGCCACGTCGGTCGTGCTGGGCCTCGTGTTTGTCGCCATGGGCGCGTGCCGCGTGACGGCGATCGCCAACTACATCCCGTACCCGGTGATCGCGGGCTTTCTCTCGGGCATTGGCGCCCAGTTGATGAAGAACGGCGTGCACATGGCCGCCAGCCGCGCGTTCTCGGCCGCGTTCTGGACCACGGACGTCCAAGTGCTGCTGCTGCCGGCCGTGGCGTTTGCCAGTCTGGCGCGCCTGGGGCAGTACCTCAAGTGCCCCGTCGCGCTGTCGTTCCCGTGCTTGCTCGCGCTGTCGCTCGTGGGGTTCCAACTGCTTGCCACGATCAGTGGCGCGAGCATGACGGCGCTCGGCAACGACGGGTGGGTCTTTGCGTGGGACCCGGTCGTCGTGGCCCAGACGCCCATGTGGCTGCCATGGGCCGAGATTGACTTTCGACAAGTGCACTGGCACACGCTCACGCACGAGTGCATGAAGTTTCTCGTGTCGCTGGTGATTCTCGGCGCGCTAAAGTACAGCGTAGCCACGACGTCGTTGTCGACGCTGTTTGGACGGGACATATCGCCCGACAATGAGATGCGAGTGATTGGGCTCGCAAACGTAGCGAGCGGGTTGTTGGGGTGCTGTGGCGGGTGTCACTACTTATCGGCGATGGGCATCATGAAACAGTTTGAAGCCCACGAGAAAGTGCCAGCACTCGTGTGTGCGTTTCTCGTGATGCTGTTGTGGACAATGGGCATTCGCTTGCTGCAGTTTGTGCCTAAGTTTATCTTTGGCGGGCTCCTGCTGAGCGTCGGGCTCCACTTTCTCGAGGCGTACTTGGTCGCCCCGTTCCAGTTCCTCAAGCCTATCGAGAAAGTCACTGTTGTGCTCATCACATCGAGCTTTCTCGTGATCGGTATGCTGGAAAGCGTAGCCATGGGCATCATCATCTCCATGATCGAGCTCATTTGGCGCATCCACGCCGTTGGCTGTGTCCACCATGAGACGACTGGGGCTCTCTCCCGTAGCGCGGTGGACCGCACTCCCGAACAAACTGCCTACCTTGACAGTGAAGGGAGTGCGATTTTCGTGCTGCGACTGCAAGGGTACTTGTTTTTTGGCACTTCGGTCAACATCTTGGAGCGGATCGAAACGCGCATCCACTCACTAGCTTTTCCCAAGCTGAGGTTTGTGATCATTGACTTTGGCCTTGTCCCAAGCTTTGATGCTACCGCTCTGCTTAATTTCCGCAAGGTTTCGACATTTGCCGACATGTACATGTTTGACATTTACTTTTGCGGACTGAGACCGAAAATTGAAACTGCGCTTCGCCGGAACCATTACACTGAGCGGGTGCATTTACTTAGCAGCGATGTGGACATTGTGCTCGAAATCTGCGAAAATGAACTGCTGCCTGCTGACATGTTTTCGAATCCAGAAACTCCGCGGCCAGGAAAGTCACTCAACGACTGGAAGCGTCTGAGTCAACTGGAGCTCTGGGAACACTTCATGGCTGTATCACCTGAGCACTTTGGGTCTGCTAGTTACCAGAAACTGCTTCCGCTGGCTGCGTATTTGGATATTGTCGTCGTGCCGAACGGAACCCAGCTCGTTCCAGAATGCTTGCGCAACGACACGTACTTCATTTGTTTTGGATACATGAACTTCATCATGGATTCCGAGTTTTCCAATGCACACAACATTCCCGGCGTCCGTCTCGCTGATGATGATAGCAGTGAGGATGACGCTAGCACGCGATACAATGACAGCCGCGCGAACGAAGAGAAGGACTATGAGCTGAGTAAACCCAGTAGAGTAAGGAAGGCGCGCACGCTATCGTACGTGGTCCCAGAGGAGCCGCAGTGGACACCCTTCACGACGGCAAAGTCACGGCTGCTTAAGATCGGACCGGGCTCCGTCATCACACTCAACGTTCCGGGCGTGGATCCCGAGTACAAATACTATGCTACGTCAGACTGCATGGTGCTGCGTTTACGTGCAGTAGCGATGGAGATGTTGGAGGCACGTGCACCGCACACAGCGGTAGCAGTACTGAAGCTGATTAACTTTCGCTTGGCGTCACGCTTCCGCCACTCAAGCAAGCGCGTGTCGCAGATGTCTTCGCTGCTGTACAAGTAGATGGACGTCCTCCATGGCCACATTCAACACAAATGGCTATAACGTAGTAGTGCACGTTGCAACGGTAACGAGTTTGTCCAAGAATCAAATTCTTTTCCATTCCGAACACCGCTTGATGGGGCTGTTGAATCTTTGCTGCTGGCCGCTGACCGAGTCGTCCCAAACTTGATGAGACGACTGAGCCCTCGCGCCAGGAACAAAGTCCAGTGCTGCATCCTGTACACATTGCTACTCGGAACATACATCAATGGCTGGCGTACCAACTTGAAGGCGCTGCATGAGGCAGACCATTGCTGTGGGCAGCAGCCAGCCAAGTTGCTACGTCTTCTTCAGCTTTTCCTCCGTCGCATCGACACAGTTCCTCTGCTTTGTGTGTTTCACTCCACGTGCTCAGCAAGAAACCGTTTGATGTGCTCACTGATCTCCTTCTGGCCGAGCAAGAACCCATCGTGGCCGTGCAGCGACGACAGCGTGATGAACTGAGCGTTTGGCAGGCCCTTAGCAAGCTGCTGCTGTTCGCAAAGTGGATACAGCACGTCCGAGTCGATGCCAATAACGAGTGCAGGCTGTGACACGGAAGCCAGCGCTTTTGCCACTCCGCCTCGATCCCGGCCAACGTCATGCGAGTCCATCATGTGCAACAGCGTCAAGTACGAGTTGACGTCAAAGCGAGCGAGGAACTTTGCGCCCTGATAGTCGAGATACGACTGCACGAGAAAACGTCCGTCTTTGCTCGCACCTGTCGTCGTTGTCTTCGGGTCCGTGTCGTTGGCTTCAACGTGTTCCCGGGATCGTCCAAACTTTTCATTGTACGCCGCATGCGACCGGTAGCTCACCATAGCAATTCGACGAGCGAGAGCAAGTCCTGCCTCGGGACGAGCATCGGACTGGTAGTAGCCATTGCCGAAGTGGGGATCGAGATATATCGCTTGGCGCTGGAGCTCACTCATCCCGATCTGCCACGCCGAGTGCTGAGCACCGCAGGCAATAGCGACGACGCTCTGGACAAACTCTCGTCCCTGGAACATCCACTCGAGGGTCTGCATGCCGCCCAAGGAGCCCCCGACTACAGTGCGAACTTGACGGACGCCGAGTTTCTCCTGCAGCAGTCGACGCTGCAGTGCCACCGCGTCACGGATCGTCACGGCGGGAAAGTCGGGACCGTAGGGGCGTCCCGTCAATGGGTTCATCGACGTCGGACCTGTCGAGCCGTAGCACGAGCCCACGACGTTGCAACAGACGACAAAGTACTTGCGCGTCCACTCGGACGTGACCAGTGCGTCCCAGTAGTGGTGCACGAGCGAGTGGCCCGTGAGCGCGTGGCAGACGACAATCACATTGTCCCGCGCGGCATTCAGTGAGCCGTACGTGGTGTACGCAATGACTGGCGCCACGAGGGACTCGGAGCTCTCGAGCGCAAACGTTCCGGGAACTTGGAACGTGTCGGACGTTGCACTCGCGTGCGTGTGGCTGTGGTACTCGTCGTCGATGGACAACGAGGAGCTGTGCGCGTGGCGACGACAGGTGGCGATGATGGACCAATTGGTTTGTCGAGCAGCACGAGCGGTTGTTTGACATGGAGACAGAGGGAACAGTGACGAGAACGATGCGACTGGTGATGAGGAGGCTCGAGACGCAGAGGATACGCGACGTCCGATGCGGTGCAAAAGCATTTCGTGGGGAAGGGGTTTTGTAGTGATTGCAATGGTTCTGATGGATGAGTGAGTGAGTGAGTGAGTGAGTGGATGGAGGAGCGGGCGGGCGGGCGGGCGGACGCGAGTGAGTGAGTGAGTGAGGGATTGCAAGGCAGTACGTGGAGATGGGTCGTAGCTGATACTTTGGACTGTGTGTGTCAGCATTGGCGAAGAGCTCTTTTTCCGAGGACGACGATGGGTTTACGAGTGAGGTTTTAGAAGCAGATGCGCTGGGTGCTCGCGTGCCCGACTGCGTTAGTGGAAGACATTTTTTTCGTGGGAATGTCAAATATAATACTCGATGACTGCGGAGATGCTGTGATTGTCTGCGAAGGTTTAGTGTCTTGTGCTCGTTGTTTTGACCTTACAAAACAGGCTGTTTTGCTGGTTGTCAATGCGGACGGTAATTTATGAGAGGGAGTCAATGTGGGCGGTATTTTACCGTATGAGTGAAAGTTGTGCTGCGAGTAGGAGCAAAGTAGCGAATGTGATCATGGCGAGTGTCGTCTTTTACAGTCGCATGTGCCAAAGTTTGATAGTCTTTGCTTTGCATATGACGAGAGCATGGCTTCTTTTCCCATTCTTTGCGAGCTAAGATTCGATACTTTGACCTACAAAACCAAGACTTAGGCTGACCTAGCGCGGCTACTTGATGTACCGTTTAACAACACTCTCGAGTTTGCATATGTCTACAAATTCCTTGCTGTACTGATGTGAACCAGTCGGGTGACAAGCGATGACTCCTCAAGCTGAAAAAGTCCGATGAACAGCATCGTCTCCACTATGAGAAGAAACTATAGCAGGAGATGATGAAATCTGCTTCATCAAGCGCTAGGTCAGCTAGACGACGTATAACTATGGTCCACCGTACTCGGCCAATTCGTTCAACTAACGACACAATTGCATTTCTTGCTATGCTCTAGTTTTGCTGCTGAAGAACTCTTAGCATATTTGTCGACCATCTCGCCAATTATGCTTGAACAGTCTAAGTGACATGGCCATCAACTGCTCATTGCATGTCAAGCAACCAGAACGAGGCAGACAGGTGGTGGCATTCATTCTGACCGCACGATCACCAGCATATCTTCTGCAGATCATCCGTCGCTGTTGCGTGCGGAGGTCGATTGCATGCACAGATGCGAAGAGCAACACGTTTTCGATCACAATGATACCATGTGTGGAAACTCGACCAGGTAGCCACCACATTCGACTTACACCATTGTTTACGCCCCAAGACGCTGCATCTTCCACACGTTAGGCACGCAGTCCGGCACTACATCACCAGGTACAACATCCTCTACCTCGTGTACTTCAGCGAGTAGGTCCTTCGTCGATCGGTTGTCGCTGCAACCACTAGTCGAAAGCTCGATACCATCGCAGGTGACACAACGCCATCCAGAACCCGCCCCTCATCCGTATCTGAATCCATCCCCGAAAGCCATATAAATCGACTCCTCATCGATCCCTCCACATCGTCGCAACACCGCAATCACATACAATGCCGATCGCCTTTCTTCTTCGCTCGGATGTCCAGTAGATCCTCCCGACTCCGTTCCACATCTGTATCCTACACGCAGCACCCATTACAAGCAAACAGTCCGTCAAGTGCCCCTCTCCAGTACCACTCCGCATTCGGCCCCTCTCTCCTACCACTTACTTCCTTGACAATGGCATAGCCACCGTAGGCGCCGCTCTTTTTGACGCGATAGGTCAACTGTCCCCCGACTTCGGTGCCCCCCGCATACGTTCCAAACGCCGTCTCCTCGTCCTTTTTGCGCTTCTTTGTGCGCTCGGCCTGTTGTTGTCCCACTTGCGTTGCGTCGTCGTCCGGGGGCGCTCGAATGTAGTAAAAAGGGGTCGACGACACTAAATCGGAGCTGAACGCCGAGCTGACACTGGCCGACACGTCACTAAGTACCATCCGCACAATGCGCGTCTCGTCCACGAGGGACGTGGGGTGCTGAATCACGAGCGCGTCGCCCACTTGGAGCTCCTGGAGAAACTTTGTACCCACTTGGCCCATTAACGTCGTGCCAGAGCTTAATAGGCGACCGGAACCTCTGAGTTTGACCAGATGCAAAGCGCTCGAGACGGTCGGGACGGCCGCCTTTGACGCAAGGGCCGACCCATTGGGACTGTGGTCGGCCGTTGGTCGTTTCTTCCTGTGCTTGCGCTTCTTTGATGACGCGAGAGGGGCAGTGCCCTTGAGCGTTAATTTGCCGCCAACTGTCTTGCGGTACGAGGATGACATTGGGAAGTGAGGAGGGGCTACTGCTACTTTTGTAGGAAAGCGACTTGCGAAGATGGAAAATTGCGTGACAATGTGACGAAAGGTAACGAATGGGTTCGGCTTTGGTGGGGTTTACGATAAACAACAGCACATACGGATGGCTGCGGTAACCGCCATCGCCTGATTGATATGTGCTTGATATGACCCGTTTTTCAGCTCTAGTTATCGGGTAGTGTATACCTTTGCTGTGCATACCTCAAGTAAAATATGGGTAGCACCCGTCACTCAGCGAGTGTTGACTTTGTCACTACGCGTAAGTAAGTGACTGTGCGGTCAGCAATGCAAGAAACGAAACACACCAAACACTTTTCTCCCACTGGGCAAGGGAGGAATGAGGAGGGAAAACCTTCAAGCATCCAACTCCTTCTGTTAGCACAACGACTGTTCACGATACGCCAAGGGGCGTGTATTGTAACTGTAATTGTACCAACTGGCCCTGCGCGTTACAGATACCACACTAGAACCAGATACACGATATGTTCTACTTCTTCGGACTTGGCAAGTGCTTACTCAGTGAGTGGTAGCACAGCAAGTGATTCAATAGATAATATGGACCCAGCAAGTGGCGACTCAGCGGGGCAGCTCAGTGAGTGGTGACTCAGCGAGATCAACTCGTCGAGTGTAGACTCGTTACGCGCTCGGGAATGATGGTCTGGCATTGATCGTAACTTTATGATTTTTTTGTGACGCGGAGAATGTAAAAAGTTACTGTTTCTGACAAGAAACAAGGTCCTGTAGTTCGAGTGCAAGACCCGTCACAGGTTCGTTTCGACATCACCTGATCGGTTGATATGTGACAGGTTGACATATGGGACGAAGAGAGAGGGATGCCATGTGACAGATTGAAACATGGGACGAAGAGAGGGATGCCATGTGACAGATTGACAAATGGTACAGGGAGAGACGGAGACCATGTGCAACTTGATGTGGTCTAGTTGCAGTTCTGTGGTGGAGTGGTGATCGATCGTTTCGCGAGACGACCCCGACTCTCCACTCGCGCCCGGACGACCGACTAAAGGACAGGGTACCCCGATTACGTAATCTGTGTTTTGTTGCTCACCTTGTGTACCCGTCGGTGGGGTGGGTTGCACTCTTCTTGGTGGACTTGAGCTGAGGCTGAACTTAATCGTTTTAGGGATAGGGTTTGATCGGATGGAAATTCTTCACCCGGTCAAATGTAGGGGCGTATTGAGTGTAAATTCTTCACTCGATCGCGTGTGTACTTGGGCGCTCTACCAGATTCGCCTTTGTCCAAAGGATGATGCTTGATGCGCGAACCTTCTGACCACATTAGCTATCTCACGATCTTGAACCCGAACCGTGAGGTTCACTGCGTTCGATCGCAGTCGGGGGGTGGGGTAATTGACGCTCCGCCTGGCCACCCAATCCAAGGGCGAAGTTTGTTGAGACTCGGGCCACTCTCTGTTCGACGGGAGGCCAAAGATCCTGCATGGGAGGAGTCGACGCGTGCCTTTCGTTGCTTATCAATTTAGTAATATGCCAACCAACCAAATCCGAAACCTATGACTATGCTTATCTGTTCGTTAGGTCACTGTTGTGTATCATATGTCCATGTAATTCACTTCTTGCATCATGTGGTCTTCAGCAGATACTCGGGTAGCAAACCGCTCCGTAGTGGATTTCTCCGTAGCAGATCGCTCGTGTAGCGGATCGCTCGGGTAGCGGATCGCTCGGATGTGAATCGCGGTATGTGGTCCGCACTAATTGTGTTATCACACAATCAAGCGGTACAAGCCCACAATAGATCGTGGTCAATCTGTTGTTTCTTTGATCAGGCATCCACGGTCGGATCGTTCTCACTTCTGAAACTTCGCATGCTTGACGATCTTGATGATCCGCTCCTCCAGCATGCTTCCGTATTCACGCATCATCCATTGTACGTTATCGATGCCGTAATCGAGATGTTGTTGCCCTCTTGTGTGGTGTTCCAAGTCCTTGATCGCGGATCGCGATCGGTCAATCGTCGATCTGTGACTATACTCCTTCTTGCCCTCTACGTAGATTAATCCGCATACCTTCAACAATCGTTTTCCTTCACTCAGTCTGTCGATCCCGTCCCTCGTGCCAACGGGCCCATCCCGGAGCGCGCTTCACCAATCAAATTGGTTTTACACTAAAGACAGTTCACACGATCCAACCTTTCCATCATTCTTTCTCCGCACTTCTCCACAGTTCCGTTTAGGCCTATGCACAACGTTATGTTGACAAGAGGAATAGGCAACACTGAATATATTCCACTTTTACTTTCATCTTCTTTTGCATAAGTGCAACGATATCACCTTCGTCTAACATAGAGGACAGTGCACAATTGCAATGACCAGCATCCAACACCCACTACACCCATCCTGTTATACAAGGTGAGCCCGTTTCATAGTATAGAAAGTGAGATATGTTCGTATACTTATATTTATGGAAATATATACATAGATATGTATGCAGAAAGTTTCTTACATATTGATTGAAAAAGGTTCTAGTGACTTCATTGCATTGGACACTTTACACATAAACCGACAAAGCTTCTGAATAATTATTTATGCGCGCAACTAGCGGCTGTTAGGTAGTCGCAGTATGTGAGTGACATGAGAAGAAATGAACGAATGTAGTCCAATCGTATCATAATGAATCTACCCATACATTGCATATTTCTCTTTTTTGACGTCAGTAACGACTTCTTGTAATTCTCCTAATTCAAAGAACTATAAAATATATTTGAAGGTGTCGTTTAAGGCGGCTGTATTGACTTAGCCTTATGAGTTCTCATCTAAAACTAACATTTTTTTACAGAAGTGACGGGTTTAATCGGTCACCGCGCCGGCGACTAAGCGGCCGACGGGAGAGAATCGATAGAACTTATAATGATAACGAAGCAATCCTCAGGAATACTCAATGAATTTGCGTGGAAGACTGACAGGAACGAGAGTTGCAAAGTCGAGTTGCCAGAAGACGCGGAAAGCGAAACAAGACAGCGCGTTCACTTCCTTCGAAGCGTATAATATTTACAATCATGCCAATAGAGCTGGTCAATTTGGAGTCTGTGCGATCTATAGATTGGAGGTGGGTCATAAATGTCGTGTAAAGCTTGAGCACTTGCTGGTATGCAACAAAGGACTTCAGGTGTCGAAAGTAATTGCATTGCGTTGAGTTCAGAGGTGGTGTAGGATGATGGCACGGGAAATGTAGCAAACCAGACGTAATGATTCAGCGTCATGGTTTCGGAAAGCATCAGATGAGATAGTAGATGGGTTTACGTCATGCGCCACGTTACTGTAGAATCTGTAAAGGGATACCAGTCGCTGCTAACAAACAACCAAATTTGGGCCGCTAGGACAAGATCCAATAATAGATGGCGTTCCTTCTCAACGGCAGCAGCGCATACAGGGTTTTGACATTGCATCACCCCTGGACGAGTACACTGTAAATAAGAGAAGCGGGAGCCGACAGGTAGCAGTCGAAATGCTAGGTGAACTGGAGATGATGGATACATGGAAGCAAGAGCATCTGGGACTCACGATCAATTTCAATGACGTCCAAAGGCTGAATCTAGAATACTTGATAATGGATGAGTTCTTCGCCGAGGCAAGATAATACCACGGACGACTGCACGCAGAGCAATCCTCGGTATATGAGGGAGAAAACAGAGTCTGAAACCACAAGAGATGCCGACAGGGAGAGGTGAGATGGGGTAATTACCGTAGCGTGGAGAATCCAAAGCGACCGTTGGTGCATTTAAGTTGATGTAAAGCTGTATCACTTCGTTGTACGATGCACGCATATTTTTACGCTGTCACGACACGGGAAGGGGTAATCCAGCCGGCCATAGAAAACGATATTAAAAACAGCCAGAGAGGTAAATACACCCAAAGAAAAAAAGAAGCTAGCGTGGTACTGGCGGGAAGGGCCAACAATAAGGCCAAAGCAGCAAAGTCGAGCCGTTGTGAAGCAGTGGACACCTGACGTAGACGGTTGCTGAGGAATTAAACGGAATGAGTCAGGATATAAAGACCGCAAACGCGATCGGGAATACCCGACAATTTGTCCGGAGAGGCAGTAGCAGACCACTTTTATATGATGAGCACCACCAGGGATAGAGCAATATTAACTCTACAAATTTGCGGTGGCGATTAAGCTAATGGTGAGTAGATTCTACGGACGAAGGAAAAATCCGAGAGGCAACGCTGCTGGTAGTATAATGATGTTAAGGGCTAGATCATTCAATATTACTCGAAAGTAAATGAATATACGTACTGTTGAGTGAGAGACACGCGCTGTCATCGAAGAAAATACATAAATAAAGAATCCGCAGACCGACTTGGCTAGGTGATAGGTAGAGAAAGTAGCGTGAGATCAGCCGGGCATGTGTCTCGTCAGGCCTAGCACGGCGATATAAGATGCATTTTTCAGGAGCCTTTGCCATGGACGAACGGTCATCTTGTGTATATCGAGATATAATGTAAACTAGGAGCCTTTGCCATGAAACAACGTTCATCTTGTGTATATCGAGATAGAATGTAAATTACCACAGCATCAAAAAACGAAGGCAGTAGCTAGTGTGAGACGTCCTTTTAGTTTTCGCAAACTGTGCCGCCAAATCCGCAATGGATCAACCAGTCTCTTGTCAATTTGCGCTTTTGAAGAGCCGAGGAATCGTGTTGGCTGCATAATCCACCCAGAACCTTCATATATTCATGTTATGAAAGGCTTTTCATACCGGATAGATAGGATGATATACTTGCTCGATTGAGCTAAAAAATACATTCCAAGGATCATGTAATAGCGCACCCGATCCGGAATATTACAGCTGCACCAGTTTCGAATGTTGTTTGTCAGAAGATGAAGAATCGACCAGTAGTGTAGATTTAACCGAAAAGAAAAGTCCCGTCGGACTCATAGTCAGCAAATGGGAACGTCGAGATCAGATCGAGATAGAAAAAGAGCCCCGA